GGAGAACCATCGCTCTGACCACTCAAACACAGCCGTCCCTAAATTATGGCTTACGTTGTCAAATGTTCTCGTCTGTTAAACTTCAGATTAACCAATTTATAAATTTATGCTACATATTGTAACTTGAAACAAACTTCGATTTGGAGTGCGTCTAGTGTTCACAGGAAGCCTGTGCATTTATTATGTTTTCATTCACTTTGATTTACAAGCATTTTTTAAATCAATTTTGCCAAATAAAGTGTTAATAAAATACAAAGTGTCATTTTTTTATTTTACTAAATACATCCAGAAGTTTTTTTTAATTTGTTAACCAGATTAGATTAGTTATATGGGAGTGGTGGCACAGAGGTTAGAGAAGGTGGGCCTGTGATCAGAAGGTTGCCAGTTCAACCCCCTGAACCAACAACATCAAACACCAGATCCACACAGAGGATCGTCACCGTGTGGCCCAGTGACAGTGACTCTACTGCAGGACTGTTGTGCACGCACAGACTGGCACGTCTTCAGGGAGGCTGCTGTAAATGAGGGAGAACTGGATCTGGAGGAATTCACATCTGTTATCCTCTGATACATCAGCAAATAGAGCAAGTTGAAGATGTCACCACCACCAGGGCAGTGAAGAGCTACCCGAACCAGAAACCCTGGCTGAACGCAGAGGTCCGTAGCCAGGGACACTGCCTTCAGTTCTGACGACTCAACTGGGGAGGGCAAGGAAAGACCTGGCTGCTGGTATTAAGAGGACCAAAGCAACATACACACGGAAGATCCCGGAACATTTCTCCTCACAGGACCCAAGGAGCATGTGGAGGAACAAAGTCCATCACAGACTATAACAGCAGAGGTGCACAATGCCCTAGGGACCCGTCACTGCCTGACACTCTTTAGGTTCTATGCCCGCTTTGAAGATCCAAATAGACCACCCAACACCAGACTCTCCTCACCATCTGAGAAGTTCCTCAGCATGACCTTAGCAGAAGTAAGGAGAACCTTCAGGAAGATTCATCCTCACAAAGCAACTGGCCCAGACAACATCCCAGTTCCTAAGAGCTCTGCTGTGACTGGTTTTATTGACTACCAGTCAGTGGCCCTCATCCCAATAGTCGCTAAATGCTTTGAAAGACTGGTCATGGCCCACATCAAAGCTACCATCGACATCAGCGAGGACCCTCACCAGTACGCATACTGCAAGAATCGATCAACAGAGGACGCCGTATCCTCTGTGGTCCACACTTCGATCACCCACCTGGAGCAGGATTCCTACGTCTATATGCTCTATGTGGACTTGACATCCGCCTTCAACACCATGATTCACCAGACCCTGATGGACAAACTACTCGCACTAGGACTAAGCCCCATCCATCCACCCACCCACCTCCTCTTGTTCTGGACTCAGGTCTCGGGGGCAGCAGCTTGAACAGGGAGGCCCAGTCATCTTTTTCCACAGCCTCCTCTTCCAGCTCTTCTGGGAGGACTCCAAGGTGTTTCCAGGCCAACCGAGAGACATAGTCTCTCCAGCATGTCCTGGGTTTTCCCCGGGATCTCCTCCCAGTTGGACAGGCGCGTCAGGCATGTCCTGGATTTCTTAACCAACAGACCAGAGTCGGTGAGTTCCACAACTTCTCCTCCACCATAACCCTCCACACTTAGCTGGACTAAGTGATGCATCCCACCACCGCTGTATCTTCGATGGGTAGGTGCACAGTCATGTTAGCAGAGTGAACAGGAGGGGGCTCAACACACAGCCCTGAGGCAACCATTGCCATTTTATTATAACAAATTATAATGTATATGAATATTAGTTATTTTTATGGGCAAAAAACAAATGGCCACTAACTGCCCCTGTATCAAAAGAATCTGCTGTTGAAAAGCCTGAACCAACCTCGGACTGAGTCAACGTGCACACTCGTGCACATTAAAGCCATGAGAGTGGTCACTATGTGAAGGGCCAATATAAATGAAAAACGTTGCCGTTATGTCGCACCAGAGTTAAACACAAAGACTTTAGGCCACACTTTTAAAGTAGCAGAGCTTCAGGTAGGTGACGATGAAGATCACCATCATAGGAGTCAAAGCCACATGACTCTCCCACCATCTCCAGGAGCTCTACTCTCAGGTAGTCCAGGTGCTGCTCTCCACTACACCTCAAACCACACGTGTGACTGTCTCACTAAGTTGTAAATCTTACAGTTGTCTCCACAGTCCATGTGCCACAAACAGCTGGTCTGACTTCCTGAAGCCAGCTGTCCTGTCCACGTGCGCCCTCAGCGTCAGCACAGGACACAAGGAGTTAAGGCTGTGCTCCATTTCAGAGGAGAATGGAGCTGGATGGGAAGCTAACGGCTCCACTGAACATCTGTAACATCTGTGCACAGACTCCATCACTTTGGGAACAAATGCTCCTCAGGTGTCCACTGCAAACAGGAAGGGCTGATAAAGTGTAAATCACTCACCTGGTTGGGGCGGTCTCAAAATAAATGCATTTCATCCCTGCCCCCTCCACAGCTTCAGTGGGATCACTACGGAGGGCTTCCAGTACCAGAGATCCACAAAGGTACCAGAGGTCTACAGACCGGCCCCCTTCATGGAGCGACACTAAAGATGCTGCCCAACAGATCTGTCAAATCCAGTGTGACGAGCTGCCAGTTAAACTGTGATACTGGAGAACCTCTTTTCCAGTCGGCTCTGTAGGAGAGCACATCCACGAGAGCACTGGAAGGGAACGACCCGCCTCCATTTTTCTAAAACTCGTCGTTTACCACTATACAGAAAAGTGCAGAGGGGGCCCTCGCGTTCTGAATGAATGGCCCCTGGGGGGGCAGCTAGATCTAAATTCCACCTTTTAGCCAAAAGGTTTGAGAACTGAAGCAGCTACTTTTCATTATAACCATCGACATTTTGACTCGAACCATAAGCAAAAAATGCACAAACACATTTAAACACTTTATCTTTATTTCAAGTGTGACGAGCCATTTAGGCCTAAATATATAACAAATAAAATACATGTACATAAATTACAAAAAATACAAATTTCACAGTCCTTAAGTGTTGTTGGTTCACATCTACAGCTTCAGAGTTTGTAGAGCGTTAAAACTAGGGCAGGTACAAATACTTAAATATGTGACGTATACCTTACGGTTGTTGTACGAGGTTCAGTTCAGGTGAAACGGAAAACGAGCGAGTTTCATCTAAAACATTTAGGATTGCTCAACAGCACGTCGGTATCTGCAACAGACAAAAACAACGATCCTTAACGGGACAGAACGTGTAAAGATTTGTCGCCACTGGAAAATGTTTCAGCCCACATTCGTTTGTAAAGTACATATTTGAATATTACAGATGCGCCATATTAATAATTCAGAGTTTTTACAGCAAACATCCACTTGAAGCACAAATGTGTAGTTGCATTCAGAGTGCTTTGATCTAAAAACAGAATCAACGTGTACAACACGAGCACCTGAACTCTGTCAGTATTCAGATCTGTGGGATTGGGGATATTCAAAACAAATATACGTGTCAGTACTCCAGAAGTACATAAATACAAGTATTTACAGAAACGTACACTGTACACGTTGTGCTCTGAACATTCGATCGGTTGTGTGGTAGTTGTTGGTAAGCTGCAGGTTTTCTTGAACCTCACGTCAGTTTGCAAAAGATAAACTAGCGCTCATCATCATCATCATCATCATCATCAGAAGCAGGTTTCAAATCTGAGTTTTCTTTGTCGCTCGAGTTTCGTTCAAAGACAAACAGAATAATTTCCACCAAATTAAAGAAAGTCTTGTCAGCTGGAGGCGACGGAACACGGTGCTGAACCCGTCGGTTCATGGGGGGCAGAAGGTTTTAACTGTGACCCCCTCCAGGCTGCACAGAGGCCTTGACGTTCTGCTCAGCTGAAGCTTCATAAGAACCCCCCCCCAACAGGATAACACTGTAGGTTCAAATCCAAATTAATTCCATAAATCAGCTGATCGAAGTGAAACTTTTCCTTCAGGATCAAAGATTAAGTTTTTTATCTAAACCTCAGCGAGCAACAAAACCAAAAGCACAGATTTAACATTTTTATGTGAAGCAAACGTGATGACGTCGCCCGTCACACACGTGTTTCATCGACTCGTGACTGGTTGCAGCCGGACGAACCGTCGTTTGTAGGTGGAGTCTGAAACGTTCGTCTCAGAGTCGTGTTCAGCGTTTCAGTTCGGCTCCGACAGAAACGGTGTCCCTAAACCGTGCGAGCTTAAAAAAGATTTACAATCCACTTTGATGGTCAGTAATTAAACTGAAGTGCTGAAAGTTCCCGTCTGTTTTAAGAAGGTGGTCGCCGTTACAAAGTGACCAAAAGAAAAAGTTGCGGTCTTAAAATTGGTGGAAAAAAGCTGTTTTCTTCTAAAATAATCTGTAAAGTTCAAAAATCTGTTTTCTTCTAATATAATCTGTAAAGTTAAAGTATACAAGTTAAAACACATGGATTGTAATTAACTGAACCGGTTTCTTAATACTTCTCAGCTTTTAGCACCAAGGAGCTGCTAGCTGTATAAAAATAATGAAAGTGATGGAACGAAGCTTGTTTTTGCTGCAGTTTAGTGCACATCACGAGTTTAGTGCACATCATGAGTTTAGTGCACATCATGAGTTTAGTGCACATCATGAGTTTAGTGCACATCATGAGTTTAGTGCACATC